TCACTGAATCAAAAACACCATATTAAAATACTACTAACTAAGATATAGATGGCTGAACATTTCTATTCTATCAAACTAAATAATTTTAGTTTATATCATTATTTTCATAACTATAAATCATCATTCCGATAGACATTGCAGTATACGAAAACAACATTTTTAGTAAAAATTATTGCATTACCAATATAAACTGGCAATAATTCATTCTAAATTCAAAATTACACTTAAAACAAAATTTATAATTCAAAATAATTTGGGGGTACTAATTTAAGACTTAGGGGTGCTAAGCACCGCCTGGCACCCCCGTATGTGCGCCAATGAATGTATGTCTTTTTTGGAAAAATGGTGAATAAATTATTTTAATTTTTAGTAATAAATTAGTTAACATTTAATATTTAATTACATACAATTATTATTAATAGTTTTGAATTGTTAAGTTGCCTGTATTACCATATTTTTCTAATATAAGTGTGTACCTACCTATTGACTTACTGCTGACGTAATAATATTTAATAAATAAGTTATATTTAGAAAACTGTAATATTTTTGATTTCAATAGGGTATTAATAGTTTGTTTTATTTATTCATTGTAATTAATATAATTATGTGATTATCTTAAAGTAAATTAATTTCTTAAAAAAAATTACCTCATTCGGCATATATTTAAGTCATTAAAAAATMAACGTTTCCTAAGCACAATATCTTGAGAATTTCAATAAAATAAAGTCCTATTGTATAGTTAGTTTGTTATAACTTTAAGAAATTGTAACTTATAAGTTATGTAACTATGTACATAATCGTCGGTAATTGAGATTTTAAATATTCAAATTCTCAAAAAAAAAATAATTTGCTTTGAAACATGAAATTAGATATTAAGTATGATTTCATTAAATAAACTTCAAGTCTTAAATTCTTAAAATAATATTTTAACGATAAAAAATAATTTTATAAATTTTTAATAACAACAGAATAATAATTACCTATAAAATGAGTGTTTATCATAAAGTAATAATCAGGTGGTGTACTGTATTGTGTTTTAAGGAGCTATATAGTTTATTTGAAAAAAAGTATCTCCTAAAAATATTAAGATAACTATAAAATTGTATTTAGTCAAACTAACTAACATGCAACTAAGACATTGTATTGAGTTAGGTCTTAGCCAATGTTTCGTTAAAAAAAAATATTACAACCTATTCATTTTTAATTGTAATTCTAATGCAACATTCTACTCTTACGGTCTTACGACTTTCAAATAAATAGGAACTCCAAACCGACGCGGTTATTCTGTGTGATGAGATTACGACCCACAGTGACAAAGTGCGATGTCGTAAGTATTTTCGATTTAAACCTGTTTTGATTATTAGGTACTCAATGCCCAAAAAAAAAACTTACTCTAATGTGCTATACTTTAAATGTGACTTAAAATATTATATATATTATTACAGTTTTATTAATAATAATGTACGAAATTCATGTTTTTTGCGTTATCTAGGTAATAATGTAAACAAAATCGATACAGTCAACAATTTTTTTTTGTAATATGACTATATTGAGTTATCGCAAGACGTATAAAATGATAATGGTTAATAATAAATGTGTTTTATTAGTTATAGATAGGATAATAATTAATATAATTTGTTATAATACGTTATACTTAAATTGTATGGTTTCTGAAAATTATTCATTGTAGCGCTTATCCAGTAATTAACATTATACTTACATTTTCACACTACAACGTAATATTTGTTTATTTTAATTAGTTTTAAATAATTTAACAGTTTTACAAAATTATGAATACGTTTGTTTTCAAGTGATAGTTAGCCGCCGTTTGTTTAATATAACACTTGGGAGATTTTTTATAAATAATTGGTAAAACATGTCATTTTGGTACGAGTTCATTTGATATATTAAAATATTGATACTTCTTTGATACCTCTTAAATTAAATTAAATATAAAATTTCAAACTTGTACAATACTATCACAATATTATACCTCGATATGTTCTAAGATAATCATTCAATTTATTTAAAACATCACTATAGCTTGTAACGAAATTCTATAAATGTTACACTTTAATGGGAACCCAGAAAGGCCTTAATAATGCATTTATTTTATATTTAGACTTCAAACTTTAATAAATTTTGTTATTTTTAGTGCTTTTTCGAATCCCACGCCGTTAATCGTTGCCAAAAATGATAGAAACAATGGAAACAATACAAGTTATAAAAATATAACAACTAGAATTCCAGCCGTGGTAGTTATGAAAATTATTACTATAATAGTAATTTTTAAAACTTTTTAATGGTATCCGTATCCGCCACTGTTATAACATAAATAAATTTACTTTACCTACTAGTAAAGCGACTATTTCAAATTTTTATCATATTTTGTTTTCGGAAAGTTAATATTTTTGATATTTTATTGTCTACTCTTAAGTTTACAGTAAATACTAAGTTAGCTATTTGTATATTTTTAAAAGAAATGTAAACAGTATGTTTTAAATTATAATTTAATAGTATTTATTTTTTGTTCAATTTATACCAATTAAAACACTCTGATATGCCCGTATAAAAAATTTAAAAGTTATGATATCATTGCATAGTTAAATCTTTGAACTCAGGTACTAATTATTTTAAGACAGTCTGCTAATAATTGAACTTATTAGTTTGGAGACTTTAAAACACTTGATTAGTAACACACTATATAAAATCATATTACACATTATAGAGCTGGATTTTATTTTTAAATTTATTGTTTTTTTTTTTTCCAAAATAGTTTTGCTGTTTTTGTTAGGATATCGTTTATTTATGATGTTATATTAATTAAAAAATAATGGATATTCGGAAGAAAATATTCTTATTTTATTTGTATTAAAATAGTAATGTCTAAGTAGATTTTTTTAATCTTTATTGTTGAACTTATTTATACCTCAAACAGTTTTCTAATTTTTTTGTGAATTCCCTAAAAGTTATTTATTAAAAAAAAAAATTGTAACATGAATCACTAGTTAGTCATGTACATATTTTGTAAGCGTAGTGTTCCTAAAAACCTACCCACATGAGCCATCAGGACTTCAGACTACCACAGTACCACTTGATAGTTGACATGTACATAATATAAATAATAAATTGTGTTCTTCAATTATTTGTATTACCATCTTTTTAAAATTTCAAAACTGTTATAAAAATAAGTGCTTACCCACTATACAACATAATAAATTGTATAGGTAACTTCCTCATTTATTTGAAGTAGTGTCAACGGACGCACGCTTCACTCAAGCATCCAAACCTTGTAAAAAAAATCTCAAATTTACTTATTGTTTTATTATATTACAGATTGTAAATACATTTATTTATAAAAATAAAAAAAATTTTAAAAAAAAATCCCCATTTACAGACTAAAAGTCTCTACCTAACTGCGCTGCGCTTATACAAAGTTACATATTATTATGCATAATAATTTACAAACCCAATACTACATTTAAGCATTAATCTTATATAAAAAATATGTTTCTCTAATGATACGAAATAACTAGGATAATATCACACATATTGGTTATAACATGACGTGTGTAATTACATGAAAATTCAAGGATTAGSGTAATTTTCTGAAAATAAGTTATAATTTTGAATATTGTTGCTGAATATGATGATATTGTACCTTGGTTATATATTATATTATACTTATACATAGGTTTTATAAATATATCTAGGTTAAAACGAGCGTATAATACAGGGAGTATACGATTTATACCAGGATATGATATTATGAGATTTCAAACATAAATTATATGGTAAGAAAACGTCATGTTATTAATAATATTTTTTTTAATTTTATTATTATATACACAATCTGTACCTCATGGGTACAATTAGAGTATTAGCTGAGATAAATAAAATACTTGAATAAGCTTGATAAAAGCAGCCACCCAGTGATGATACTTATAAATTGAGGTTATACATTAATATATATGAATTTATTTATTTGTTTTTTTTTTTTWTATATATTATAATATTAAGTTAGCATATCTCTACACCAGTTGCGTTTTAAACGCCTTGGAGGATTACCCGGAATAACATTTGCTGAACGATCTTTAATTAAAAGATTGGAATGAGTTGCAAGCCGATTATAGAATCTTTTAAAATAATTGACTGTTTCTTCTTTTACAGTTTTGATTTTCAGATCTGTGTGAAGGGTATATTGGAAAAATAAGATTTGTTAATTTTCTTAATGCAATATTTTGAAAAGACTGAATATGATTTGTATTTGATTTTTTAGTATTTCCCCAGAGTTGGAGACTATAGGTCCAAATGGGTTTGATGAGGGATTTATACATTATTAGCTTTTTTAATAATATAAAAAAGTATTTTAATGGATTTTTTTTACAAGTTATATACAATCTGTATCATTAATACAATAAGAATATATGCCAAGAGTCCATTCACAGGAAAATAATTTGATAAAAGGAGCCACCCATTGGTGAATGATGAAACTTTCTATGGATTAATGAAATTTAAAAATACATTTTTTATGTGCCTACTTAATGAAAGCAGATTTCCGCAACACATACCTAAGGAAACAAAAGTATACAATATTTTAAGGATTACAGTACCTACATACCTTCAAAATATGCCATTTTTTTTTTTTTTACTTCTTTTTTTATTTAATAACAACATGATGCGTACGAAATACAATTAATTTAAATATTCACGGTGTGGCTACTGAGATCGCATATAATATGTAGTATAGTTCATATTACAAATTACGTATAATTATTTTGATATAAATAATTATACAAACAAAATAAACCGTCCGTGAGTTTATACTGTAGCTCACTATATATTATATTTGTTTTGGGTGGGATATTAATGAAGAACGAAATGGTGAATTAGATAAGGCCGATACAACCAGCGATTTTTACACACACATTACAACACATCGTAAAAAAAATAACTATCACTTCCAGCGACCACGTTTGTTTTTTATCAAACGTATTCAGTAACGATCGGTTTCACACACGCGATTCATACTTCTTTTTAAAAGTGAAAACTATGCACACATGTGTTTAATATTTTTTAACAATTTGGACGGTGATACGCTTGTTTAGTATAAATTTCGATTTATTAACATACTTTATACTTGCATTGGATTCTCGGTCGAATAACGCGTTTGTGAATTCGATTAAAAACAGGTAAATTTGTATTAATTCATAATATTTATGTTTTTAAAAAATATTTTGAACATGATAGTTAAGATGTTAAAAAATATTTTGACCATGATAGTTTAGATGTAAAAAAATAAATCAATTACTTCATCGGTAGGCAAATAAAGTTTTGAGTAATAATAAAAACTATTATTATTATTATTATTTTTGACGAGTCGTTGAATACTACAATCACCTTTTCAAAAACCATGAGTGTATATTTCCTAGAAATGAAATAGAAAATTACAAAACATGCCTACTTGATTTATAAGTGAAATATTTTTAATAAGTACATAAAAAATGAGTACAAAACTTTTTGAACATTATCCTCCTTCTTGTAAATGTCATTTTTTAAAAAAAAAATATCATTAAATTATTATTTGATTCACAGCCACGTTTTTTAAGAATAATAAACAAGAGTAATTTGTTTATGTTTTAAATTGTATTAATATAATTATTATGTAAAATATAATTAGTATAATAAACAAATTTGTTAGTAAATAATGTTTAGTTAAAGGAGATTATCATTTATGGGCAGACACTCAGCAGTGCCTCCCGATTTTTTTTCCATGTATCCATTCAATATTTGAATTTGAGATTGTCTCAATTTTTCATTTGCATATATGTAAAAGACAAAAATCGCGAGAGTATATTTAAACATATTATCATTTCAAATACATTTTTATTTAACAACGCATTTTAATGTTAGGCTACAAATAAACGTGAAATTGTAAACTGCATTTTAATGCTTATTATTATTATGTTTTTTTCGTTAAAACTAAGATCAACAAATTATACTTCTTTACGATAAATATAAAAATCATACAAAATAATAATATTATTATAAGAATTATTTTTTCGTCGTCCAGAATTCAAAGAGGAAAATAACGATATTAATTATAACTTATTGTTATCACACTTGACGTCCGTGCAGCTGTATGACATGCAGAATTGCTGCACAAAAGACTATACTTCACAAATCTGCATACCTATTATACACGCACACTAAAAAATATTATGTACACCAGCTGCCTATATAATATCATATATTACTGTTTAATCGTTATTTGAAGCAGACAATCACTGATGTCAATGGACACCCCTTCAATCATTCCAGGTTGGCCGTGTGTCATTTATATATATATATATTTATATACTTATAAACTTATTATAGCCTATTGTACTGAATTTAATATAATATGTTAACAGACTGTAAAACATTATTATTATTTACTAAATACAAAAAAAAATATATTTATAAAAAAAAATTCTGTAATCAGTTTGTATCAATGCGTACGAAATGGTACTATTATTTACATTGCATTTACATTGCTCCAAAAACTTGTCAAAATATTTTCATTATTTTCATTTATATTTACCGTTATTTTCATATATTTTACAGTATTAAATAACAACATTATACAGCGACATTAAAAGGTATTTTCCACGAAATAATAACGACTGCTACTGTTATGATGACAATTTTCAAAGTTCATTAGAGTATTATATTATGTGTCATAATTAAGTATTTTGTCTTACTGAGCTCCAAAAACGATATTTTTTTTTCCTAAATCTGTTCATCGTTTTCAAACGTCGTTTGTTTCTGATAACGACATATCGTACCTATATGATAACAGATCAAATCGAAAAATTAAATTGTATTCCGAAATACAAATTATTTTTTATCATCGAATAAACCGAAGCCTTCGGGGTCCTTAATATGACATTACATAATCGAATATGTGCACACGAGGTATATTATCATGAATTGGACTGCAGTGTTATAGAAAAGTTATTCTTCTATCACACATCTGCAGTAGGTATAATATTAAATATTGCACAATCCACGAGAAAACTTAAACAATATTTTATGGTAGTTTTTTTGTTTGAAACTATAAAAAAGTACTATTTTTACAAAATATAATAATAAATATTTGCTTAGAAAAAATATGCATTTTATTTGTTCTATTCTCAGGTTAATATGTCTTAGACAATAACTTTTTTGGTCACCTTCATAAAGTATTGACATGTTTATTTTAATGAATTTATATGGAAGTCCATCCAACAAAGTATGACGTTAATTAGTAATGCAATAAATACAAAATAATACCATATTTACGATCAGGAGCGAATGGACCTCTACTTGACGAAATTCTCGGCCCACACTCAGATCAGAACAAAAATACGCTGAAACTTCTAAAACTAAATTAGTTAATTGACAAAATATAATTGAATAAAAGAACTTGATGTATATAATTTAAATAGCAATTAAGAATTTTGAACTAATGGCCTATGTTGCTGAGTTTTATTTTTTTTTAAATCAATAAAATAAAAAATAACACAAAATACAAAATTATATTTTTTTTTCTCTTTATTTATATATACACAATCTGTTCCTAAAAGGTACAATAAGAGTATTTGCTATAAGTTAAATTAGTAACATGAGAATTTGATGAAAGAAGCCACCCAATGATGACACTTTTAGTTTTGAATTAATATTTCTATGTTAAAAGATCTCTACACCATTTGCGTTTTAAGCGTCCAGGAGGATTTCCAGGAATAGCATTTGTTGAGAGAGCTTTAATAAGAGGATTGGAATGAGAGGATAGACGATTGTGGAATCTGTTATAGTAAATTATTGCTAAAATTATATTGAGTTCAAATACATACATATCATATTATTATTATGACTTTTTAATATTCTACTAATAATTTTTACCGAAAGGTGTATTTGCTTTGTGATAAATTTTTCATTGGACTGAAGAACATAATGATTGATATTTACTAAAATAATATATTAAAAATAAAGTATAAAAACCTGTGTAATGCGCACATATTTAGGAACAAATAAATGTAAACTTTTTTTTAATTTGCCTCTAACTCAATATCCCGTTTATTTTACCTCAGACTTAATATTATTATTTGCAATTAAATTATAAATATAACACAATTTCACAAAATCGTATTCTTTAAGTTGATAAATAGTATATGMGACGTTACAACCAAATACCTAGGTTTTTTCTCGTAAATTAGTCTCTATATGAGTAAAAATTATTTGAAATAATAAACAAAGAAGTACCTATGAAAGTAACGACTAATGACCGGTGGGCAACGACCATAGTATAAAAAAATGTATAATACTTTCGAGAAAATTAAAACTTAGTAATATATTAGTTTGAAAATAAACCAAAATGTACTTTAGGCATCAAAAATTACGATAGAACTTTTTTAAAGTAACTTTTAAAATTATTATGGTTGTTATTATTGACAGTGATGAATTGTATATTATTTTTTAAATACTCTTATTTCCAATGCAAGTACCTACGAAACCATAGATTTTTAGTAATAAATTTTTAAAAGAATAACTGTTAGTTTTTTTTTAATCTACTTAATAGTTTCATTAGTATAATTTAGCTAGGTATAAAATATAAAATCATCTATAATTTAACAAGAACATAATATAAATACAAAACGCAAAATTATAATCTACAATAAAATTTTAGCCCAATTTACCTTTTTAGGTATGCAATTTAGCATAATGCCGGAATAACATGGAACATGATTTTGACTATTCAAAGGTAGAGTGTCACCGCTTTCTGGCAAAAATGACCTGTACGTTTTCTGCCAATACCTTTTTCTACCAAATTAGAAAAAACGTCATTCTTTTCTCGCCAATTATAAATTATAGAATTTTAAAGTTTGGGAACCTTTATGTAAAGATTTAATAAAGATATGGAATAAGGAATAAATAAAGATCGTTGAAAATGTATTAACAAATTATATGATGCAAAAGTATATACAAAACAAATTCGGACAATGAAGTATGTTGTTATCTTATACACGGAATAAGAACACCATCACCAAGCTGTAAATTAAAATACCATAAATCAGAAAATTTTTAATATCTCATGCAAAAGAAAAGCACTAGAAGACGTAAGTACAAGATCAAAAAAAATCATTTTACAAGAATTAATACATAATGAGAGTGCCAAAGAAATAACAGTAAATTACATTAATAGAATAAAAAAATATATATATGAAATGAGACGGGAAAACCCTTCCGGCAAATTATAAATCCATTTCTGAAAATACATCAAGCTTTAAATGTTTGAAACATTGAAATTAAACAAAAAGAACATTTTATTACTATTAAATTATGAAAAAGAAAATATTTTTTTTTTTATTTATATTACACTAGTTTAAAACTTTTGACTTCAGTAGATACTATTTATGCATATGAATGAGATATTAAATATGTTGTCATTTTATTATTGTACTCGCTTTTTTTATGAAAATGTTTACTATTCGTGGATTCAAAACTGGCCACTAGGCTCCACTCATATTTTGCTGGTTACAAAATAAACTAACAAAAAAAAAACACCTCCCTATATTTTTGCACTTCGTTCTAATTATAAAAATGCAAAGATGTGAATTTGATTTTTTCCCTCTGAAAATGTGACTAGTGAATGTTGATTACAAAAAAGCCATTAATGCAGTTACTGAAGTTTGGCTAGAAAGTAATATAATTGATTGTAGATTTCATTTGACTAATTCATGGTGGAAGAAAATATAATTYCTTGGTTTATCAAATGAATATAATGAAAAAAATGCACACATTTGGTCTTTTATTTCTTGATGCACAAGAAGTCTCAGGTTGTTTTACGTATGATTTTATGAGTGATCGTCTTGTTAATAAACGACCTATTAACCAAATACTACGACTATTTAGCAGATAATTACATAGGAGACGATTTTACTCACCCTCCATCACTGTGGGCTGCATTATCAGCAAGTTTTATCAGGACAATGAATGCGTTGTGAATCATTTCACTCTGTATTTTAACACTATTTTTATAAACGAACACCACATATAATACAATGGATAACTGTACTTATAAAAACTATTGAAACTAACATCTATGTTACTTTAAAGAGTATAAATATATGTAAAACAATAAGAAAAAATATGAATGGTAAATATAAATGAA